CGATCCGGCCAAGCCGGAGAGAGTCCTGAAGATTGGAGCCAAGCTCCCCGAAGACTTGAAGGATGGCATCACCAAAGCCCTCCGTGCCTACTCCATTGTTTTTGCATGGGGGCCGGAGGATATGCCAGGAATTGACCGAAGGGTCATCACCCACCGCCTTGCGGTGGACCCTTCGGCCAAACCAGTGCAACAGCGGAGGAGACCCCTCTCGGCCGAGAGAAGGGAGTTCGTGAAGAAGGAGGTAGCTATGCTCCTCTCCATCAAACATATCAAGGAGGTGAAATACCCCTCTTGGTTAGCAAATGTGGTCCTTGCACAGAAGCCTCCTACTTTCCGCATGTGCGTGGACTACACGGACTTGAATAAGGCGTGCCCAATGGACCCCTTCCCCCTGCCAAACATTGATCAGCTGGTAGATGAGACTGCGGGATGCGAAATCATGTCCTTCCTCGACGCATTCCGCGGATATCATCAAATCTACATGCATGAGGAGGACGCTGAAAAAACTGCCTTCATGACACCCGAAGGCATCTTCTGCTACCTCGTGATGGCCTTTGGCCTCAAGAATTCGGGCGCCACCTACACCCGAATGGTGGCCAGAGTCTTTCAAGCTGTCTTGGGGCGCACTATGGAGGCCTATGTTGACGATATGATTGTCAAGAGCAAGAAGGCCGGCACCCACGCCGAGGACCTCCAGGAAATCTTCGCCATCATGCAAAAATTCAACCTCCGGTTGAATCCAAAGAAATGCACCTTCGGCGTGCAAGGAGGGAAATTCTTGGGCTACATGGTGAGCCGAAGGGGTATTGAGGCCAACCCCGAGAAAATTCAGGCCATCATCGACATGGAGCCTCCACGCAACGTCAAAGAAGTTCAACGGCTGACGGGTCGCCTGGCAGCCCTCAACCGTTTCCTCTCCAAGTCAGCCGAGAGGGCCCTCCCCTTCTTCCAAATCATGAGGAAGACGGCGGGTTTTCAATGGACATCTGAGTGTCAAGAGGCCTTCGACGAACTCAAGAAGTACCTCTCCTCTCCCCCAGTGCTCTCCAAACCAAAGGCGGGGGAGACTTTATACTTATATCTCGGTGTTAGCCCTGCGGCTATCAGCTCAGTACTAATCCGAGAGGAAGACGGCATCCAACATGCCATCTTCTACGTCAGCAAAACCCTCCGGGAGGCCGAACTCAGGTATTCTCCCGTCGAGAAGACGGTGCTAGCCATCGTTTGGACCGTCAAGAAGCTTGGCCACTACTTTCAGGCTCATCCGGTCCAAGTGCTCACTCATCAACCCCTCGGCGCCCTCATGAGGAGTCCCACTAGCTCCTCCCGGATGGTGAAATGGGCCATCTTCCTCAGCCAATACAACATAGATATCCGTCCGAGGCCTGCCATCAAGGGCCAAGCCCTGGCAGACTTCGTGACGGAATGCACCGCGAGATCAGCGGTGGATGAAGAGCCTTCGGCTACTCTTGATGAGTGGTGGACCCTCTATACCGATGGCTCCTCGGCCACCAAGGCATGTGGAGGGGGAGTAGTCCTCATTACTCCCGAGGGTTTCCGCGCCTATTATGCCATCCGCTTTTCCTTCAAAGTCTCCAACAACGAGGCCGAATATGAGGCCCTCCTCTGCGGCCTTCGGCTGGCAGCGAATCTGAAGGCTAAAATGATCCACGTCAAATGTGACTCCAAACTCGTCGTGGGTCAAATTTCCGGGGAGTACGAAACCAAAGAAGGGAGGATGAAACAATACAAGGAGGCCGTCAAGGAGTTGCTCAAGGTATTTGAGGCACATTCTCTTACCCAAATACCGAGGGCTCAAAACTCTGAGGCCGACATTCTATCCAAGCTCTCGGATGAATCCCCCGAGCACCTCTCGAAGATTGCAAGAATTGAGGAACTCAGCCTCTCAAGTATCCACGCAAGCCCCGTCATGAGCCTTAACCTAAGGCCGGAGGATTGGATCTCCGACATCGTCACCTTCATCACCACAGGGCAACTACCCCAGGACGAAGCCCGCGCCAAGTTAGCTAGGCTGAGGGCTCCCAGCTACACCCTCGAAAACGGGAGACTTTACAAAAGATCCTACAACGGCACCCTCCTTCGGTGCCTTCACCAAGATGAGGCCGAAGTCGCCATGGAGAAAGTACACAGTGGCACTTGCTCAGCTCACCAGGGACCCTTCTCCATGTCCCGAAGGCTCATAGTTCAGGGCTACTTCTGGCCCACGATGGCTAGAGATTGTGCTGATCTAGCCCGAAGATGCACCGCGTGCCAACACTTTCAGAAGGCCCCCGGCAGGCCAGCGGTCAACTATGCTCCCGTCAGCACCTCTATACCTTTCTCCAGATGGGGGATTGACTTAGTGGGCCCTCTGCCGAGGGGTACCTCCAACAACAGGTACATCATTGTGGCCATTGACTACTTCACCAAATGGGTGGAGGCGGAGCCCCTCGCCAGCATTACTGAGGCCCGGTGCCGCCACTTTGTCCTCAAAAATATTCTCACAAGGTTTGGAGTCCCCCAACAAATCATCTCCGACAACGGGACTCAATTCGAGGCAGCCCCCTTCTGTGCCCTCCTTGAGGCTTGGGGCATCAAGCACACATTCTCCTCCGTTGCCTACCCTCAGGGCAACGGACAAGTAGAAAATGCCAACCGCACCCTCCTCGAGGGGTTGAAGAAGAAGCTGGAAGCCGAAGGGGGAGGCTGGGTAGAAGAGCTACACAACATCTTATGGGCCTACCGTACCACCCCTCGGCGTGCAACAGGCGAAACACCCTTCTCCCTATGCTATGGCTTTGAGGCTAAGGCTCCAACTGAAGTGACCCTTCCTACCCGAAGGGTGGAACAATATGAGCCCGAGGTCAACGACGCCAACATGGCCCTCGACCTTCATCTCATCTCGGAACGCCGAGAGCAAGCCTTCCTCAGGGCCGAAAACTATAGGAGACAAGTCAAAGGCTACATCGACGCCAAGGTCCGCTCCCGGGAATTTCAGGTGGGTGACTACGTCCTCCGACGAAGGGAGGCCAGCCTACCCACCGAAGGAGGAAAAATGGCTCCCAAGTTTGAAGGCCCCTACATCATCTCAGCCATCATCAAACCAGGGACATACAAGCTTAAACGCCCCAATGGGACGGAGATCCCTAGACATTGGAATGTGCACCACCTTGTCAAATTCTATCAATAAGGCATGAGCGGCCAAGCCCTCATCCTCAGCAAGTGTAAATATTAATGGCCCAAGGCCCCATCTGTTTTTGAAGAAAAATCAAAAGGCCAAGCCTTCATCACCTACGTATTATACAAGCGGCCCAAGGCCCCCTTCTCTCCTACAAATGAGTGGCCAAGCCCTCGTCTCTTCACCAAAATAGGCCCAGGGCCTCTTCCTCTCAGGAGGGGGAACGACAATTTAGGTACCAAGTACCAAGTGTATGGGTCACCCCCATCACTCTTTGAAGACACCAAGTGTTTTCTCACTAGGCCGTGCCCCACGAGGACGCAACCATGCATACATTATGCATACTTTTACATACTCTCTTAAAAAAAAAAAAAAAAAAAAAAAACAAACCGGGGGGTACAACACCCCTCGGCTCCGGCTGGTACCAAGTGCCCCCGGCTATTTGTGTTCCACACGCAAATAAAACCCTTCCCAGGAACGCTTTCCGCGCTATCCCCCAAGGGGAGGCAGGCAACGGACCATGTCCCGGGCCCAGGATTCGACTTCCACAAACGAAACGCTCCCCGCGCTATCCCCCAAGGGGAAGCAGGCAACAGACCATGTCTCGGGCTGAGGGGACGACTTTCAAAACCGAGGCGCTTTCCGTGCTATCTCCCAAGGGGAAGCAGGCAACAGACGATGTCTCGGGCCGAGGAAACGACCCTCAACCCTTCGGGATATCGGAAGGTCATTCCCGAAGGGGGAGCCAACGGTTTGTTCCGTTGCCTCCCATATAGGCCAAGCCTTTCCTAGAAACCAAGTTTCTAGATGCCTCTCCTACACCATCAAAAAAAAAAAAAAAAAAAAATGTGTAGGGGGGAAGGAACTCCCCGGATACTATTCTCCCCGGAGGCTCAACACTTTGGACATATATTCCCAAAGGATCCTACAAAGGCACAAGAAAATCTCTCAACAACAGGTCATCTGGCTACATAGCCGAAGGCTTCACTGCATAAAGCCTTGGAGTACAACAGTTCCCCCGGAAGACCAAGAAGAGGGTTCACTAAGCAAAACTTCACCTAAATTTGGCTAATGACGAATTCGGCTGGATCAAAGTCAACTATGTGACATGCCGAAGGCTTCACAAAGTTCTCAGGCAAGCTAAACCTATATCTACACAGACCGGAGACCTCATGCCGAAGGCAGAATGTCACCAGGCTCATTCAACGAGGAAAAATTTCTAAGTCCATGTATTCGCATCCTTCGGGAAGCACTCATCGAACCGGGGGGCTACTCACAAGATCTATTGGGAACACATCTCGAACCCCTCGGCAACCATATGCACCGGGGGCTCAGGCAGTTCCCACGCCCGAAGGTTCACTACAGCACCTATTAAAACTTCGTGAAAAAACGACTAAGTCCACAAACGTGGACCCTTCGGGGGAGCAATTCTTCAATTACACATTCGTGGCCGATGGCCTCCTAAAACTACTTGGCGCTGACCTAAAACTACACTGCTAATCCGGGGGCATAGGATGCAATTTCACCTGGTGGAATTCCTAAGTCTAATTCATTTTATCCCTCGGCCTCACTACTACGAACATCCGAAGGGGGCTGATTCTACACTACGACCGGAGTCACACGACAAAAGTTCTTAGAGAATTTTCTAAATCCACAATCACGAACCCCCCGATGATTCTACTCTACATCCGAAGGGTTCTGGTCAAGTTTACTTGGAAAATTTTCCAAGTCCACAAAAACGACCCCCCGGCGGTACTACACTACAACCGGGGCTAGCAAGGAATTACACCTAGAAAAATTTCTAAGTCCACAAACTTATGGTCTCCGGGAAACCAGGCAAGGGAAAAGAGAACATACAATCATGCACAAACATAGAAGAGACAAAGGCATTCATTCGTACATAAAAGGCCCGAAGGCACATCATTCATTCAAAGGAAGAAAAAACAGATGGGATACGAAAGATGTTTTGTTCACAGACGGCCGAGGCCGGAAGTTGCTAAACTGTTACAAGGAAAATTTTCCTAAGTGTCAACTACTTGGTCACCCTCCTCGGCATCCTTCGAAGTCGCACCGTCCCCAGCCTCTTCCTCATCCCCACCACATTCCCTCAGCAACTCGGAGTCGTGGAGAATGGGCCTCTCTTCTCCCTCCGGAAGTGGGACCCGGACGTCAGGCTGCCGAGGGGGTAGACCATAAGCTGCAGGGTCAAAACTCTCAGAAGGGATGTTGAAATGTTGGGCAAGCTTCCGGTATATGAGACGCTGCGTGAAGAACTCTCCTCCCTGCCAATAGGCATTACCCTTCGAAGCCAGCCACTCAGAGCCGGGGCCCTTGACCCATTCGTCAATTTCCGCCCCCACGACCATGTCCCTCCAGGCCTTCTGATCGTTTGCCTTCCACCCCTCGGCAACAAAAGAGGCGACGGCATCTTTTCCAGACTTGGAGACAGCCTCGGCTTTGGCATCCTCAGCCTCCTCGGCCGCCCTCTTGGCAGCCTCTGCCGCAACCTTCTCTGCATCGGATCTGGCCTCGGCTTTGGCGTCCTCGAGTCTTTTGGCCATCCCTTCTCTCTCGACCCGGAGGGTGTCCTTAGCCTCGGATAATTGCTTCTTAGCCTCGGCAAGCTCTTCAGCCAGCCTCCTCATGCCATCATCAGCCTGGCCTTTGGCGATTCTTAAAGCTTCCACCCTTCGGGCTTGCTCGCTGAAACCAAGGGCCGCCTGCCAAGAGATATGAAACCAAAGGGGTTAACAGATCTAAAGCTTGGGAGTGAATAAAGATGGTTAAGCGGATGGAAGACTCACCATGGTGCTGTAACTGGCTATCTTGTAATCAAGAACATCGTCCTCGAGACGGGATAGCACCAGCTTATCTTTCGGTGACATCACCCCCCTCATAAATTCAATGGGGTTGAGGGTGGAGTGCATCACCGCTGTCCCCTTCTGGATGGGGAAGTGGATGACCTCCTTCTCCCGAAGGTCCTCGTCAGCGTGAGTTGGGGGAGAGCGAGGAGGAGTGACCACCGGGGCCTGCTCATCAATGATCACAAGGGGGGCCCCCACTTTCTCGGCGCCCCCCTTCTTCTGCCTCTTCTCCGGAGGCGCGGCGCCCTTCCCGGCTCTTTTCTTTTTCTGCCCCTCGGCAGCGGAACCCCCGGCGTCAGAGCCAACGACATCGTCAGCAGCAGCGGACTCCTTCTTAAAAGACCCCTCGTCCACTGGGGCCTTGATAGTATCAGCCTTCGGAAAGAACTCGTCGACAGGCTTCTGGGTAGAGGGCTTCCCCGCTTTCTTCTTTTGCTCCTTGTCGAGCTTATTCCTCAACATAGTGATAGCCTTCAGATCCATGGCAGGCCCTGCAGGAAATAAAAGTATTAGGCTCACAACATAAAAGAAAGAAAAATATATGTATATATGCTAAGTACGAATGCGTGGAGCCCTCGGCAACAACCTCCGGCACTTTGAGGAACCATGTCGATAAGGGGGTATCTTTCATCCTCCTCCCCAAAACGACGGTATCGCTTGAAGTCCAACTTGTAAAGCTCGTCCGGGAGGGTGACTTCTTTAATGGTCACCTGCTTGTCCGAACCCTCCGGCTTCGCTGACAACTTCTTCCCATCTTTGTGGAGGGCGGCGCTCCCCACTTTCAAATGCCTCCGGAAACGATCTTTGGGAGGCTCCGGGAAAGGATTCGCTGCCATGCGGATGTAACAAAACTTGTCTTTCCACCCCTTGTGCGAAGAGGGGACTTCGGAGAAAAGCCTCCACTCCGGCACTTGTTGTAGATTCGCAAACCCCTCGGCATGAGTGTGCCCCCCTCGGCATAAATTAAAGCATAGGAAAAACAGATCCAACGAGGGATCGACCTTCCGAGAGCGGCAGAGTGACAGAAAACCAGCAATATAGGAGTGGCTGTTGGGGGTGAGCTGACAAGGGACCAACTTCACGAACCTCAGGTACTCCAGCAGAAAGGGGTGAAGGGGAAAGCGGAGGCCCAGTTCCAGGGACAGCAGGTGAACCGCAAAGCAGCCTTCGGGAGCTTGCGAGAGGATATCGTCGGGCTTCGGCTCTATGACGCGCGCCTGGGGTCCGACGAGGAACTGAGCCGTCAGATACTCCGATTGGAGGGCCCTCGATTTCAAAGCTAGGGCAGCAACGTTCAGGTAAGAATAGCCCTCGGGGATGTCGACGGGTTTCCCCACATCCACCGCGGCCTCCTTCTTCTTCTTCGGGCCGGCCCCCGTCTTTTTCTTCCGCTTCCCTGTGGCGACACTAATGGGTTCAGGATCTAGGGGCCGGGAGCTACTAGCTTCACCGACACCACGAAGGGGGAGTCCGGCAACAGTCACCTTCAGCCGTTCTTTCTCCTCCTCTTCCTCGGCTACTTGAAGCGCGAGGGCGAGCTCTTCATCTTCAACCACTTGCTCGAATTCTTCCGCTTCCAGCTCAGTCCGGAGATTACTTTGCACCTCCTCGGCTACCGCGGCATCGTCGCCAGCCGATGACTGCCCAGTCGAGGACTCCGCATCCGAAATGCTCTCATCTTGTACCGAAGGCGCCCTCGAAATATTCTGCGAGTCACTCTCGGAAGACATGTTCTCAACAGGGAGAAACTTTTGCCGAAGGCTCCTATGAATGCGCTAAACACTAAATCTAAGGGAATAGCAGAAAACGCTAAGTACGCGAGTAGCAGGAGGATACACTGACCTTAGGGGAGAATTTCGGTCGAGGGCTGAAGTTTCTCTCACTAGAAAATTGGGCAGAGCTTCGCTAAAGAAATCGAATGCGCAAAAGAACTAAGCTTGGCCTTGGGGTATATATAGGCTCTGGGCCTCGAAGATTGGGCCTCGATTTGAAAAGCCCATCATTACGAACCTTCGCCTCAGCCAATGGGTGGCACCCGCCCACCTTCAACCAACGGGAGCGTGCCACGTGTGCCCCTCTCCCAACGGCTATATTACAACGACTATATTTCGACAACACTGGGGTGCCCTCGAATGGTAGCCTCCGGCTATCACTCACCACACCCTTCTGAGCAAATTTCATCGAATGACTACGAGCTTGCGGCAGCGTAAGCCCCCGACTTATCAATATCGCCACCCCTCGGGGACTCATCAACCCATCATAACTCCTTCAGCCCGAACTCGCCTTCGGCCTAAAGGAGTGGGGGACTGGGATACACCCCTCGGGTACATACTTCAACACCCCCTTCGGCAGAGGTAGAGTATCAAATTTTTTTTTTTAAGTCACTTGCGGAAATGAAGCGGCCCTCATCACAACACATGCAGGCAATACACCTATGCTTTCCCCAGAAAACCCTCGACATGTGAGGGACTGAGGAAAGCCTTCTGCGGTCATACAGGTGTTATACCGCCCTCAGAAAGCCCTCGACATATGAGAGACCGAGGGAAGCCCCCGGTAAACATGCGAAGGTTACGAATACCTTCCCTCAGAAAACCCTCGGCATGTGAGGGACTGAGGGAAGCCTGCGGCAATCAGCAGAAGACAAGTTCTCCAGCGAAAGCACCCAGCGAAATGATGAAGCCTCCAGAAGAAGCAACACGTCTACTCCTTTTCCCTCAAGTACCTTTCGGCAAAAGGAGTGAGGGACTCCTGATGGAGTATATGGCCCAGGAACCCCCGGCCCATAGACTCCTACTTCTCCTACACAAGTCCATTGAGCCCAGAGAACAACTCAGGCCCAGATACAACGGCCCAAGCCTCAAAGTAGCCCAGAATACACACTGGGTGCCTTCGGCCTCCTTGGCCGAAGGCTCCAAAACTCACAGGATAGCCTTCTCTGGCATAAGGAGCTGCTGGAAGAGAACGGGCAAAGACATGAGCCTTCGGCATTCGCATGCCCTCGGCACCAGGGGAAGCCCTCGGCTGAACCAAGCCTTCGGCTACACATTTGAGCCTACGGCCATACATGAAGCCCTCGGCTACGCAAGGAGCCCTCGGCTACACAAGGAGCCTTCGGCTGAACTAGCTCAACCATCGAAGATTCCTTTTGGGGACAGCCAACCACCGCATTTAATGCCACGTCACATCCGCCAACCGCATTCAATGCGGTGAACGTACCACTGCCGGTACCACCAGGCTGACGTGACCCTTCGGCCGTTGGATTACTGACACGTGTACTCTCATCGCATTTATTGCTGCTATAAATAGCAGCCCATTTCTCCTTGTAATCGACATCATCTGCGTCTCAACTCCACATCTCGAGTTCATTTAATAAAATCGACTCTCTCTCCTCCTATTTGCTCTGACTTCTCTCTAAGTTATTCCCGTAATAACCCCTCGGATAAGATACCCCCCGGGTAGACTATCCATCAGTGTACAAGGCGAGGACCCGAACAAATATCTTTCGGAGTTTCATATAGTTTAATTTGCACTAGTATGAAACCGAATAATGTTATTGAAGAACAGATCAAGCTAAGAGCCTATCCATTCTCACGGAAGGACACGACTAAGGCTTGATTATTCCATCTCCCTTCGAGGAGTATAGATACATGGACGACAATGAAGAAGTGCTTCCTAGAAAGGTACTACCTCGCCTCCATCTCATCATCATTGAAAAAACAAATAAACAACATTGATCATAAAGATGATGAGTCATTATATGAATATTGGGAGCAATTCAAAAAGTTGTGTGCTAGTTGTCCATACCATGGGTACACGGAGCAAGACCCCATACTCTACTTTTATGATGGTATTGTTGATGATGATAGAAGAATGGTGAATGCCGCTTGTGGAGGTGACATTGTTAACAAAACTCCTTCACAAACATCGAGTTTGATCTCAGAGTTGGCCTAGAACTCACGGAAATTTGGCCGTAAATCATCAACTCGAAAAGTTCTTGCGGCGGAATCTAGCACATCTACTTTGGAAAATCAAGTTGCAAGCTTGACATTACTCATGAAGAAGTTTATCTAGGGTTCAAACACTCAAGAAGTGAAAGCATGTAGCACTTGCGCATTACCCGGACATCCAACCGATTCTTGCCCAACTTTCCAAGAAGAGCAAGTCAACACCTTGGTTTCCAAGGACATCAAAGGTACGATCCACACTCTAATACTTACAACCCGGATGGAGGGATCATCCCAATTTGAGATATGGAAACCCTCAACAACAACAAAATCATCCCTTTCAACAATCCAAACAATCTTTCCCAAATCACCAAGGCCAAAACTCCAACTCTAACATGTCCACGGAGCACGTGGTTCGAGCTCTTGCTAGCAACATGACTACCATGCAGCAAAACATGGTGCAATTCTAAAATGAGAACAAATTTTGCTTTTTAAACTTGGAAACTCAAGTGAGTCAAATAGCCGCAGCCATGAGCAGGCTTGAAGCAAAAGATTCAGGAAAACTCCCTTCTCAAACGGAAAAAATCCAAAACAACATGTTAATGCGATCATGTTGAGAAGTGGAAAAGAATTGCAAGAAAGAGAGGTCCAAAGGAAGAATGTTGAAGAAGAAGTGGTTGAGGTCAAAGAGGAAGATCAATCGGGAGATACAACCACACTGAGTCCACCCTTGTCATCATATGAGCCACTACCCCATTCTCTGAAGCACTCAAAGAGACAAGGAAGTAGGAGAGAAATGCGGATATGTATGAGACTTTTGCAAAATGTGAGGTAAATATTCCACTCCTTAATGTAATAAAAGGTGCCCTCGATTTGCCAAAATTTTAAAGTAATTATGCACAATCAAGAGGAAATGTCACTTAAAATAAAAAGAAAAAATTGAAGTTAGTGAACGTGTCTCGGCAGTTTTTCAAAACAAACACCCACAAAATGCACTGACCCAGGCATGTTCACTATACCATGCAAGCTAGGAGACACCATTTCTTCTAGGGACATGTTGGACTTAGGGGCATCAATTAACGTGATCCCCTATACACTTAATACATCTTTGAACCTTGGCCCTCTAGAAGAAACCGGTGTCTTAATCCAATTAGCCGATAGGTCGAATGTTCCACCAAAAGGGGTAGTGGAAGACGTACTTGTGTCGGTAGGTGATCTAGTGTTCCCTGCAGATTTTTATATACTTGAAATAGAGAGAGATAAACATGAAGTCCCTATTTTATTGGGAAGATCATTTTTAAAAACCGCTAACTAAAAAATTGATGTTTCTAGCGGGTTTTTCACTATGAAATTTGATGAAAAGAAAATAGAATATAACATTTATAACTCTATTATGTGTCACTCTCCATTTGAAGAAAAAAATGAAGTAATCTTCATTGTTGCGGAAGCACTAGGCAAACAACCATTAAATAAACCCTCTCAAAACAAGTTGAAACCACCGGAAATTCAGGTGGTAACAAAAATGAAATCTAAATGGAAAAGACCGAAACAAAAAGATGAAAATGGTCTGCACAAGGCCGTTGTTTTTAAAAAAAAGGAGTGTTCATGATCCCACTTAAAAATGAAAATAAAAATAAAAATAACGTCGTGCGATGACGTTCAATAAGGCGCTTCTTGGGAGGCAACCCAAGTTTTATATTTTGTGTGTTGTTTAAATTGAGTGATGGTTAGAGAGTGCACAATTTTATTCTAAAAAAATGAGTATTTTTTTGTCCTGGGACAAAATACCCGGCGGGTATAACATACACCCGGTCGGGTATTAGGCTAAAAAGAGAACCCCGAAGCACAAATCCGCCGGGTAGGGCGGAAAAATGGAAAAATCATTATATACCCGATCAGGTATATTCATATACCCGACCAAGTAAAACGAAAAAAAGAGCTATTGCCGCCCCGTCTAAAGAAAATCCGTCCGGGTATACACAAAATACTTGCCACATATTCCGATTAAACAAAAAAAAAATGAAAACGAGACATACCCAATCGGGTAACTGCTTATACCCGACCGGGTAAAACGGGAAAATAGCTACTGCCGCCTGAAATATTGAATACCCGTCCGGGTATTGCGAAAAGCCTGATCGGGTTTACGGAAAATCCCCCAATTTTAACGAGCAAACCCGTTCGAACCACAAGCATCTTCCCCAATTTTCACCCTGTCTTCTCCAAAACCTCCATATCCATGACCAAGAAGCTTCAATTCACCCAAAAATATCCCAAATTAAACCCCACAAAAGCTTCCCCTCATCTTCCTCATTACTCCCATACCCTTAATTCCCATTTTTCTTCCCCCACGACCCAAGTCCAAATCCCTAGCCAAGAAAAACCCCCAATTTCTCAAAATCATATCCCAAAAGAACTAGACCCTCCTCCTCCACGACATCGACTTCGCTCCCCAAAGTTCCCTGATACAAAGGACTACAGTTCGCCTCACAAGCTCATCGAAAAAAATTCATTGAGCAGACCAAAAGGCAGATACACATGTAGCTTCCTTTAATAGGCTAGGATTGACCTCCTTGAGCAGACCAAAAAAAATTCATTGAGCAGACAAAAAAAAATTCATCGACACTGTTTCGTTGACTGCATTGATGCTATTTGACTTGAAGTTTGAGCTATATATGCAATAGGCTAGGATTGACCTCCTTGATGAATGTAGACTATATAACCCACATGAGAAAGTTGTGTATGATTTTTTGGGTTTTGTTAATTTTACTGTGAATGCTGATGATGAGTATGAGGACAAACTCACTTTCCGTTTATTCAACAATGAAAAAGAATTAACGAAACGTGAGTTTGCATTCATACTTTGATAACCAGGTCCACTTCTCATCCATACCTGCTCACCATCAACACCCTACATGGTATGACCCCTCTTCTTGGGGTAACTTTGGTGGAGCAAACGGTAGTGGAGGAGGCTATGGCGGTGAGGACAGCGGTTATGGTGGCTACCACGGCGAGGATGATGGCGGGGAGCACTAGGGACAATGCTTGGACAAGGTAGGGGAGAGTTACTCATTTGATATGGACTCATTCATTTTTTACCCTGTAACTTGCATTAATTTCTTTTCAAAAACGAACAAAAAAAGCAAAATAAATAAATAAATAAATATATAAAAGAAAAAGATGCTAGTTAGGTTGAAAACCCACAAAATGGGCAGTCTAAGCAAAAGTGGCTAAAATGAGTGAGTTTGGAAAGAAAAAGGAAAACAAAAAGAGAGACTAGAATGAAAACCTGAAAAGGGCTCTTAGGCAGAATGAGAGAATGAGAAAAAATGTTATCTTTGTTTATGCAGGAACTCATTCCAATTGGGAGCTCTTGGGATTCAAGAAATGACAAGTTTATTTGTTCGTGAAAATCATGAAGACCCGATTGTCATTCGGGGATGAAATGTAAAAGTTGAATGCTTTACCAGCATTGAACTTACTTCTTAATTCCGTTTCTATGAATTGTGAATTGCTATGTTGATTTTTACTCGAGGTTGTTAAATATTTGTCCCACACCAGAAAGTTATAAAATAATAAAACATGCACTATATAAGGTTTTAAGCTACTTTTCCTATCAGGTTGACCATTTAGGATGAAATTTCAAGTCTTAATATAACATGGTATCAGAGCCAAATTCATCCATGGTGTGGCCCCCCTTATGAAAAATGATGACACAATTTTTTTTAAAAAAGACAATAACGAATCGATGAAGAAAATGAATGATGACACGATCCAGATTTTTTATTGGCGGTTAGATCGGTGGTTCACTGGTTTGTATTAGCTAGTTTGACTATTTGTTAGTTGTTCCTAATCGTTTGGTAAAGTTAGATATTTGACAAAATGAATTGTTAAACTACATAAATTAAGAAAAGATTAAATAATTTTAAATAATACTAACCGTCACACATAAACTAATAATAATACGTGCTTTAGAAATAATCTTAAGATTAAAATTATTTATCGAGTCTCCATATATACCGATAGTATAATATTTTATTTTCCATAAATTATATTCCGTAATTTTGTATCTTTAAACTGTTACTTTTTTATTCTCTTCTTGTCTATGATAAAATAATGATAACAAAAACATCAATACAAAAACAACATCAATAATTCTCCGCAGTCCGCACTATCCAATAAACAATGATAACAACAACACTAATAATAAAATAATGAAAATAACAAAAGTAATGATAGAACAATCCAACAACCCGTTTTGTTTGATGAATGAATGTACATGAACTAAGAAAAAGAATGAGAACGGCGGAATAGGTGCGTATAAATTTATACTATCAGGAGCGTATTCAGGAGCATATAAATTTATAAGAATTGGATGGGACCGGTACAAAGAATTTTTACAACTAAATTTTTACACATAATTTTTTACACTAAATATATAACCATTATTTTTAAAATTTTATTTGTATGACATAATACGTATGAAATAGATTGAAGAAAGATAGAAAATAACCCGGGTACGGGTAGCTCAGTTGGTCAATGGTGAAAAATTTGGATCAATGGACCAATGTTCGAATCCCCGCAGCAACCGGGTGGAGGTTACCGAACCTAAAATAAGGCTGGACCTCTGGCGCGCACGAGTTATAGGCCTACTGCTACTTTGCTGACTGAGTCACCGTATGACTTACTCCTTCACCATCCTTTCGGGTCGGGGTGTGGGGGCTCCTGGGGTGGGAGATTCCACCACTTTTGGATCAAAGAAAGATAGAAAATAAAGATAGGAAAAGGTGACATTAAGCTGTTAAGACACGAGATTCCATCCTAAAACGTCAATCTGATAAAAGGAGTAGTCCATCTGCCCATGTGGTAATCTAACAAAAGCACTACTACTAGCACTGTGTGCAAAAATGGCTACTCAGGTTAAACATCTATTTGAAGTAGTTATTTTACCAATACTACTTTTTTTGCTAAAAAATGGCTGATAAGCAATTTACGGAACAAGGCCTTTCCGTGTCTGATGCCTAGTATAGTAGTATGTCATAATGTACATCGAGTGAACAAGCGAAGTGTTTATGTATGGTAGGGGTCAATTGGTCAAAATTAATTAATTGTATGGATATGTATGTATGTATGTATGTATGTATGTATGTATGTATGTATGTATACTGTATGTATGTATACTACCTCCGTTCTTAAATAAGTGAAACATGCCAAATTTTACTCTATTCACATATTCTACTTTGACTACATTTTATTTATTAATGTATAAATATATATTTTTGAAAAAAATATTACTCCCTCCGTCCCTAAATGTTGTTCCAATTGCGGATTACGAAGGTTGACCGACGATAAAGTTAAATGATATATGTGAAAACTCGGATTATTTTTAGTAAATAAAATTTACATATTCAGAAACTACACTAAACCCGCTACAAAGTCTGCAAAAAATAATTCAACTTTTATAAAATTTTGATATAAAAAGTAAGAGTTTAAGAGTGATTTAAGTTGACCCTCGATAAGCGAAATGGAACTTTTTAGGGACGGAGGGGAGTACTAAATTTGTCTCATTGCAAATTTTCAAAATCTGATTTTTTTAATTTTTTTTACTAACAGAGATTTATATATATTAATAGTCAAAGTTGTGCCTCGACAAATGTGAAATGTTGACCATTGCACTTATTTGAGAACGAAGGAAGTATATATATATATATATATATATATATATATATATATATATATATATATATATATATATATATATATATATATATATATATATGTTTCAGCTTGATATGAATGCTGAATATAATGCTAGCTTGTATTCACTCGAACTCGAGCTTGAGCTCTTACGAAGGCCGTGGAGTCGATGGCTCTGGAGAAAAGGGCAACAAAGGTGTGTGAAAACCGTAGAGGCGGTGGGTATGGAGGTAGGGGCAGGTACAGTGGGCAACATACGTACACTATGGAGGACGAGACAGAGATAAATGGAGGCCGGCAGGGACGATATAAAAGGAGAATGCGCGAAACGTATAGTAGCAGCCTAGCAGGTAACTTGTAGGGAGAAAGAAGAAAGAAAGAGACGAAATGGAAGAAAAAAGAGAAAAGTAAAAAAGAAATCTATAATAATATAAAGGAACAAGGTGAGAATCCTTTGCAATATCCCGCCCAAATGTATTGCTAATTAAAAGTTATTGCAAGTCTACCATGTATGTAAGACTTATATGGAGACTATAATAACGTTGATAGAGTATATGGGCCTGGACCCCATGGCCCACATACTCAACGGCCCAAAAGACACCAGCGGGACACCCGCATCGTCCAGAGGCACGTAGCGTCCAAGAGAGAAGATATCGCCTGATTTCTATGGACCGCATCGTCCGCGGACCGCATCGTCCATGGACCGCGTCGTCCATGGACCGCGTCGTCCATGGACCGCATCGTCCGTGGACCGCTTCGTCCGGACTTCGTCCGGGCAGAATGTATTTTCCTATTTTTTGTACTAAGTGTTGTACTCAGCCCATTAGTGGCCTTATTCGCCCAAAGAAGGCATGATTATTGTAATGGGCCTCCTAAGCCCAAGGCTAGGGGCCCAAATCCACATTTTTACCTATAAATAGACCCCAAGGGGCTAATTATAGGGGGTTCCAAGTTGAGAAATACAATTACTCACTTTCTCTCTCTAGCTCTCACTTCTCTCTAGAATTAATACTCTATCATTTGGTGCTTTCATTGAGAGTCAGAACAGATCAAGTGAGTACCCCTCGTCGCTACTAGACGCAACAGAATGACAAGGACTAGGTCAAAGAACACCGGTAGGAATGCCCCACTGAATCAGGAAGGGCAGGGAAACGTTGCTGACAACGTCCCCAATGATCCTATCATCCAGGATGAGGACGCCCAGGAAGTCGCGCACGCAGCAGCCGACCTTCGCGTCCAACTCAACAAGACTGCTCCCGACGCCCGCATCGGGCTCGAGGACAGGCGCAATGCTGATCGCGCTTCGGGCCAGCAGGCCTCTAACCCTGCTGCTCCCCAGATCAACCCGGCCGCACTGTCGGCCATTGTTGCGAGCATCCTTCAGGACCCCAACGTGGTCAGCGCTCTCGTCGCAAAGACAGGGGAGAACAACACTCCGGCAACTGGAGAGGTCGCAACGGTGCCACCACCGCCACCATCGTCCGCAAGGCGTCACCTTCTTCGGTGACAACGAGGACGTCCTCGCCGTGGACACCCATTCCCACACTGCCTCACCTACCCGGGATACACCGGCCCAACCTCGCGGTAAAATCTCAGCCTTCAACAGGCTGGGTGACATCGCGAGCCGTCGGGTACCTACGGGAGGGGTGGCGGGTCGGTTGGGTGGCCGCGAGCCGGGGTCACCAAAGGAAAGCTTCGGGTCCGTTTCCCGGACAACGGATCGGCCCCGACAAGACAAAGGAAAGGGAAAACTGAATGATGATGATGCGCGTCATCAGATCAACCTGGCTCACGCGGCCCGGATCCAAACCCCGCTGGGTGGCGCTGCGGCCAACACGGACCCGAGGGACGAGATCATCGCCCGCCTGGAAAAGCGCCTCGCGGATATGGAGGCCCGAGAGGCCGCAGGGCGCGCAGCGGCTCATACATCCCAGCATCCCAACTACGATGCACTCCTGCACAAAGTCAGTGCCTTGGAGAGGGAGTTGGCTGACCGGCGCGATGAACCCGTCATCCAGATACGGACCAGAACCCCTTTCTCTACGAGGGTACTCTCCGCTCCCATCCCGGAGAAGTATAAGGGGAACCCGATCAAGCCATATGACGGCCGCACTGATCCTCAGGAGCATTTCACCCGCTATCAGAACAACATGATGATGACCAACGCTTCGGAGGAATACATGTGCCGCTGGTTCCTTTACACCTTGGAGGGACCAGCGTACGATTGGTTCAACAACCTTCCGGAGGGGAGCATCGACTCATGGCAGGACCTTGCTCAACGCTTCCTCACTCACTTTGCCGGGAGGAAACGTGCGAAGAAGCATTTCGCTCATCTCCTGACCATCAAACAACAGCCGGAGGAGACGCTCCGAGCCTTCCTCGATCGCTGGACAAGGGAGGCGGACGAATGCGAGGGAGCCGATGAACGCACCCTCCTGGCCTTCCTCCGCGGAGCACTCCGGCCGAGCCACTTCGCCCGGAGCCTGTTCACGGAGCCTCCGCGGTCATACCTCGCGGCGCTCCGACGCGGAGATAGGCACGCTGATGCCGACGAGCTCCTGAACCAGAAGAAGGGTGGGGAGAAGCAACAAAAGAAGGACTCCTCGTCCAACCCCCACCACCCGCCGGCCAACAAGGGACAACACCAGCCAAAGAAGGCACACCAGGAGCAAGGCGGACAGCGAAGAGATGACCGTTCATGGCGTCCAAAGTTGGAGGCACAACGCATCCCCCTCACCCACCCGGTGAGCGTCGTCCTCGACCACGCCGAGGCGCAGGGCCTCATTGTGAAGGACCCCAGGTCAGAGGAGGAGATATTTGCGGTCCACAAGGGAGGGACGTATTGCAAGTACCACCGCCAGACATCCCACAAGACCGAGGATTGCACCA